ATCAGAATACACCGTGTCTTCCCCTTTACAGCTGAGGGTGTCCGCGAAGCGCATCAGGAGATTAATACGCCGGGAAGTAGTCTCACTGGGAAGCTACTGATCAAGATTTCTGAGGAATAGGCGACTGGAGTATCACATTGGGGAATAGGAAGATAGGACAGATATGCTACATATATGTACAAGAGATTTAGCCAATGTTTGAGAGAACGGAGTACGGCAGAGATATGATATGCTGATACTACATACGATTTTGTAGCTACAAGTCGAGTTTTCTTATTGGAATTTGTTTGGTCTTGGCACGCATGGTTAGCCCTGATTCAAATGCATACCATGCAATCCAGTTGCCTCTCTCAATGAGCTTCCTCTTGAACTCTGCGAAATCGATATTGTGAGCCCGTTCGATTCCCGCGGCGATGTCAAATGCCTCTTCCGACTTGTATCCCTCTTCGATATACAGGTCGGCGACATGATCCATCGGAAGCTTGAGAGTACCCAAGAACGCACGTAGGGCTGGCGGGATGACTGTCGGGCTTGCAGCGGTATAAGATGGCTCGACGCGAGCGTGTTCGGAGACGTGGTGGACGGATGATGAGGGTGTCTTGTGCATTTGGCCCTGATGCACAGAAATCTGCTGAGGTGCGCCGATACTGCCTGCCGTCGCGCCATCTCTACCTTCACCAGCCTCTGCGTCAGACTCAGACGGATACATGAGCTCGCCTGTCATTAGATCAACGTCCATCTGGCCGTCGTGATTTTCGGCAGCATCCGTCCGAGCTACATTGATCTTGTCAGTCTCTTGTGTCACACTTAGTATCAGCCTGACGTACTCAGCGCTTGTTCTACCTCACGCTCTTCTTTCTTCAGCTCTGGACCAGCGTCGCCTTTGAACCTGATACCCAGGAACATGATTTCATCGTCATCGCCGTTATTATTACCATCTGTTATACCCCTTGAGCCTCCAAAAGGAACTGTAGAATAAAACATGATCACCAGAACCGTCCTTTGGTTTCTTATGTTGAGCCACGTGCGTAGGATTGGTGAGAAGATTGTGACCAGCCAAAATCCAATGCTCCTGCAAGAATACCAGAGATGTTCCATATAGCCGGAGATTACAAGAGGCTTCGTTCCTCACCCTCAGCTTTGCCGAACCTCCTTTGAACATTTTGCCATCGGGACACTGTGGACACAGCCAAGTTCCATCTAGTCCGCGTTCTATACGGATATGTGTGCCATCCTCATAGAAGAGCCCGCAGGTGCGTGTATGATAGTCCTTGCGATGCTGAAGTAGCTCGCGGTTGGAGCGAAATGACGGGGCTTCGCCTGTTGGGCACTTGTTGCAGGTGTAAAACTTGGCCATCGCGTTGTGATCTACCTGGTGTGAGTTGAAGTTTATGAGTCACAGGAAGGAGCTGAAGGCTGAGATGAGAGAGATACTGCAAACCCAGGGGAACTGTCCTGCCAACTCCCGCGTCCGTGGTGACTTTGTGGCGACCACGTGGGGAAATGCCGAGATTGATTCGGACGGTTTATCAATGTCTGATACAGTACCTTATGTCTCGTGCCGTGTAGGACAAGACATGACCCATATCATATATGCTACATGGCAAATGCTATATGCCAATTCCGCAGCTGTTACAAAGTCACTTGCCCACATTTGGTGGCCTCAGGACTACCCTACTCATGTTCCCTGAAAATTAATAGTGGCATTCATGTTCAGCGTCCGATCCCATTTCTGTGTAACTATTGGAGCACATGCAAGTCTCAAGGAGGATTGTGAAAGGCTCATGCAAGCTTCATGACGCTGCTTGCTGAGGCACAGCTTGCACTCAATATAGCCCCGGAGCGGAGTCCTGTCAAGCCACAAGCAGTGCCACATAACTGCGCACACTTAATGTACACAGCGGCGCCCGCGGTGAGGCGTTCGTCAGGTCAGCAACCATCAGCAGAGGCCGACGTGGGATTTAGGATGGCGTCGGAGTGCAATGGTCTGTCGGTTTACCCAGACTAGCGTCGGACGCGGGCACCAGCTCCTAGGATAGAGCGTGCATTCCCACGCGCTGCGCCGCTGACTACGGTCTCCTCGCCAAGCGCGATAGAAATTCAGACAACATGCGGTCAGTCGACTTCTCACGGCAGCGTACCGCCAGACGAGGCGTGGCTCGTTTTCTAGGCGACGCGAAGCGCGGCATGCTTCTCTTCATTTACACGCAGCACAGTAGTCACAAGACCCTTGGAGTGAGAAGAGAGGCTGGTGCGAGACTTTGCGCTATGAGCTGAAGTAAGAAAGGCGCGGTTTTACGCTTTCAACAGACCTACAAACTCTGCACGACGTGACGTGAAACACACTCAATGTGATATCTGGAAGTGATTGTATCACAAAGTAATTAGACCAAGTGGGAAGCGAGACTTTTGATGCGCCTCAAGGTTGCGCTCGTCGCAGTCAGGCGGTGTTTATTCCGCGCTACCGTCAATTGTCTGCAGCCGAGTTTCCGACAAGTGTCCCTCCTTCCGTTCACTCCTTTTATTCTGCATTCCTTCCTTGCTTCAGACTTTCATCTGCAACCGGCCGCTCCAATGGACTCGCCGTCCGTAGTGCTCATTCCGCCCACACCCCAGCCCGTCGGAAGTCTGCAGCCGTCCCCTCTCTCGGCATCCACAACAACGTCGGGTTCTTCGTTGCCAGAGCTAGCCCCATCTGCAATGGACAAAGATCGCAGCTCGTCCGAAACTACGATAGTTACCATTTATTCCATGTATGGAGAAGAGGAGGAAAGCTGGTCTACTTCTGCCCCTCACTTGGACCAGAACCACCACCGTCGACCCTCGAAAGGCGTTGCCGTCGCCGTTTCCGACAGCTGCGACCTGTACATACCACCGAACGGTCGACCAGCAGAAGATAGCGGGTATTACGATGCAACGTTCGATGCGATGCGTCCACCCAGCAAACTCCTCAATCCCCACGCGAACCGCCTCTCCAACACCTCTGACGACGCTATGCAGTCCGCATATTCTGACGGCCGACCGACGTCAAATTATGCACGGACATCGACCACAGGTACGCGCATGAACAGCTTGTCAGAGAGCCAGCGCCGCAGCGGTGCACCCTCGACATCGAGCGAAGTGGGAGCGCCTACCCGTAACAAGCCCGTGAGCAGACCGGACAGCCGTCCTGCCAGTCACGCGAGTTCGCAGCACCAGCAGACCACATTGTCACCCCAATCGAACGGCCATGCGAACGGCGGGTCCCCGTCACTGTATTTCACGCCGCCGTTGTCACCTGTCTCACCTGACGCCGAACAGCGGCGGGATTCTCGTTCGCCCCACCTGGCGGTTCCTTCCACGCCTGCTTCCTCGCCGCCGCGGCCCTCGACCACAAGCACGCCCTCGAGTAAGCACAGCATACCTTCGCTGGTGCAGTCCGAAGGCGAAGATGCAGATGCCTTCCACGTTCGCAGCACGTATGCACAGCTGGACGCGATTGGGGTCAAGGGTGATGGTATCGAGGAGGGCGTCGAGCGGACACGGGCGCGCGTTGGGGGCAACAGGCAGAGCGAACTGAGGGCAGAACAGGCGTTGGCGGACGAGAACGAGAAGAGGCGGGAGCTCACTCCGCAAGAGATACAGCTGCTATCAAATCTGGATCGGTGAGTGCCGTGGAGGCATCTCGTCCTGTCTATCCTCATGTTGGTCTAGCTACGGGTTCTTCGTGACGCCGTCCCACGACCGGCTCATTCTGCTACCCGCAGCGCCATTAGGGAAACCTCTCTCTCGTGTCTCTACGCCAACCACTTCGTGCGCTCCAAGCGCACCCCTCTTGCGTTCTCCACCTCCCAGCCCATACCCTGCCAAGGAGGGCGAAAGAACGGCAAAGTGGGGACGAATGCTCATCGCTGACTCCCGGGACGAAGGCGGCAACGTCGAATTATGGGGCGTTAGACCGAACAAGGAGCATAAACTTCGGGAGCGGACATTCAAGGGCATCCCGAACTGCTGGCGGAGCGCCGCCTGGGAGGTGCTCATGAACAGGTTCACCAAGACGGGCAGGAGGGAGCTGCGAACACTTGCGGAGCAGTACCGCCAAGCCCTGGACC